ACATTCAGAGACTGGAGGTAGATGCGGGAGCAGGATGCCCTTGGAGGCTGCCTTGGAATTGTATTCCATTGCACTTTCCCTCTACTTCATTTGAGAGTCTTCACTGCTCCCTGTCTTACTGGAAATGGAGTCCTCAAGGGTATTTGTCCCACTTGCTCCCTGTCAGCTCTGCCAATTCACTTTTGGGTAAACTGACTCATCAGTTATTATTGAAATTTGCTTTACTCTCATATTTTACATCTACCTTGGTTTCTTTATCACTGTTCATTTCTTTTTTTTTTTGTTTGTTTTTTTTTTTTTTCAGTATTAGGAATCAAACTCATGACCTCTTGCTTGCCAGTCAGGCTCTATGCCACTGAGCTAAATCCCCAGCCCCTTCACTGTTCATTTCTGTTATTTAGCATTTAATTTTTGATAATGATGAGACCTAGTGTTTGCACATGCTGAACATTTTCCAGCATGACCTTGTGTGTGCAATTTCATTTAGCTCCCCCTCCCCCCATTCAACCTGTAACATAGGGCATCAGTCATGGTGCTGGCAGGAATATATGCCATGCTCAGTTGGAGTAATTGAGGAGAGTTCAATAAAGGGACTGTTTATGTAGTTGCAGCACAAACTTAAAAGGAAAGCAACAAGTAATACCGAAACACCCTTCTGGGGTAGCCATTACTACTCCTCAGCTTCTGTACTCACAAGCGTGAAAGGGCCAGAAGAGAGTAGAGCACAACTGTTTGGGGACAGCCCTAGTATGGGAGGTAATGGCATCCTATTTTTAGACGAAAGGATATAACCAACCCAGGATGGACTACCAGAGAGGGAGCTGGGAAAATAAATGCCCTAATCTTCCTCTCTTGATAACCTTTGACCTCATGGTAGCACTTCCCATTGAGTGAAGGCAACCAAAAGCCAGAAATCAAGAAAGCTGTTGTGCATAGATACCACAGCAGCTTCCTTGATTTCTGGCTTCCAGTTACACAAAGTATTTCCCTAAAATGAGTGTAACTACTGTGTACTACAGACATACACTAATAACTATTTAACAATATGAGATAAAGAGAAAAATATATATGAGAAATCAAGGAAGCCCATTGGTGCAGCCCACACAAATTAGCTTCATGATCACAAAGCAAAGTAGAGGAGTAAGAAGTATCTGAAGAGACAAACGAAAGCTTTTCCAGCATAGCTAGGTCAACCCTATATTGTTAGCTATTTTATTATTTAAGATGAGTAAATGGAGACTTAGCATGATTAAGCAATTGATCAAAAGGCTGTTTATTAACTCCAAAGATATGGCTCCTTTTATGAAATACCTTCCATATCTTTTCAAAAGTAAATTACCTCTTTAGTTCAGAGAGAAGCTGGCACTCTCTAAGGTCAACAATAAATGATAAATTTTCATAGACTGAATAGAATAAGATTCTAAATATAAAAAATAATTAATTTGTACTAGCCTTTTCTATAAGAGCTAGATGAAATATTAATTTTTATTTTTAAAATCTACTTTGCAGCATACATTATTTTCTATTATACTAGCAATAATACTTTTATTCACAATGCCGGCATAGAATTAGAAAGCAAGATCTTATTTGTGATTTAACTGGTAACTGGACAATTAGAACGCGTGGTTCACTTGAAGAATAGTTTCCTAGTGTTTAAGCTTCTCATCAGTCAGTATTGTTCCTTCCTTCTTTCACAGCTCACGTAATAATGCTGTGGGAAAAAAGAATTCTATTTTCTGCCTTAATAAACACTGCATTCTAAGTCAGACCATATACCACGCCATTATTGTAAAATCATTTGCTTCCTGTTCCAGAAATATCATTAAAAGCAACACTGGTCTTCTCTCAGCTAATTAGAAAATCTGTGTATCTATTCATTTCATTGATGAGATCTAGAAATAGATTTTAGAATATTCAGGAGGTCATTTGGTACCATCCCTTAGAGGGATGGTGTAATAGAAATAATCATTCATAATGAAAATAATCATGATCAAAATCATGCTCCTTCAGCGTTGAAAGGACAGCATGTTCCAATGCTTTGAACAATCTAGTTTGGGAAATTCAAGTCTATTTCAAATCCCCAAGGCACTTTCTCTGAACAGGGGTCCCTCACATACAAATTGCTACTGTTGGGACTTAAAGGGTTGCTTCAGCATATGCATCCTCTGGACAGGACCCAAGCTCATTTGCACGTATAACATATGTAAATAATTACTGGAATGTCTTTCCTATATAGAGATGATACTGCTAAACATAGTCACCTAGGCATGTTTTTAGAGGAATGCTCTCAACAGCAGGATACGTTTCTACTATTTAACCCGCACACCTTCCCTCTGTTCTCACTGTGATCAGTGGGGCATGAGGTCAGGTAGCTCAGATGGAGATCAAGTATCTGGTTTGGCCTCAGTCAAATGATGCTCTAAGTGGGCTGATTGTTTGGTCCAGCATAATCTGTCTCTGAAAAATTTCCAACAAATTTTTGACATCAAGGTTAGCAGGAAGAACTGAAAGAGGTGGAAATCAGATGGAAAATAGAGGGTAGAAGATTTAGGAAGAGCATGACTATGAAACTGGCCCAGAGGATCAACTTGATAAAGGCCACATGCAGAAAACCTGCTGTCGTCAGGTGTGGTGGCGCATGCCTGTCATCCCAGCACTTGGAAGATTAAGGCAGGAGGATGGCTGTGAGTTCAAGCCCAGCCTGGGCTACATACTGAGTTCAAAGCCAGCCTGCACCGCATAGTAAGATCCTATTTCAAACACAAAACAAAACAAAATGAAATGAAAAAGAAAAGAGAAAAACAAAAAAAGGGGGAAAAAAAGGAAACCTACTGTCAACATCATGCTTCATGGTGATTATTTTAAAGCTTTCCCTCTAAGATCAACAGCAAGGAAACAATGCCCATTCATATCGCTTCTCTTCAGCACCATGCCAGAGGTTGCCACCAGCATAGTGAGTAAGAAAGGAAATACCAGTCAACTCAATTGGAAAGGAAGAAGTAAAGCTGTCTTTGCTTTGAGAGTACCTATGCAGAAAGTGCCATGGAAAATAGATATGTCCTTCAAAGGGACTATTTTCAAAGCATGTGTGCTCATTTTAAAAGTTTAAACAACATAGAAGTGGGTAAGTTAGGGGGCTGGGGATTTAGCTCAGCGGCAAAGCGCCTGCCTGGCAAGCGCAAGGTCGTGAGTTCGGTTCCCGGTACCGGAGAAAAACCAAAAAAAAAAAAAAAAAAAAAAAAAAAAAAAAAAAAAAAGTGGGTAAGTTAAAAGAGGAAGCTCGCTGGGCATGGTGGGGCACACCTGTAATCCAAGCACTCAGGAGGCTGAGGCAGGAGGATTGCTGCAAGTGTGAGACCAACCTGGGCTACATAGTGAGTTCAGGGGCAGCCTGAACTATACAGCGAGACTCTGTTTTAAAAATAAATAAATAAATAAACAAGAAAGCTCTTCTCTTCCATGTAATCCATCTGGTACTTGAGTGAACTATTGTGAAGTGTATGACATTTCCTTTCAGACCATTTTGAAACATCAGATTATTTATTATCCTAACTCAGGAGTGGTATTTTTAGGGGTTCCAAGGTAATATAGACAAACTCTAAAATTTTTATTTCAAGTAAAATAATCTAAGAACTTAGAAAAATATACACTAAAATGTCACTTTGCCTCAATCACCACACAGTCAAATTACCAATAAAAATAATTAAATTTAGCCAGGCATGGTGGTATATGCCAATAATCTGAGCTACCTGTGCGGCTGAGGCAGGAGGGTCAAGAATTTGAGGGGAGCCTGAAACCTTAGTGAGCCCTTATCTGAGAATAAGTCATGAAAAGGCTGTGAGTATTGAGTCATAGAGCACTCCAAGTTCAACCCTCAGTACCACGAGAGGAAAGAGAAATGACAATATTTATTTAGTAATAACTACATGTCAATCATGGTGCCAAATGTGTGCATTATCGCATTAAATCCACCCCCTCACATTTTCCAAGTGCCCCTTTCTGGCCCCTTTCTCTCTGAAAGAACCTCCTACAATAGAGATCTTCTTTACAATGTGCACAGGCCCATGAGTTTCCTGCTGAGATTCCTGTGGGAATCAGCACCTCCTTCTGAAAGGTTGTTTGTCCACTAAGGAGAAGAGATGGTGCGGGAGAGTGAATCAATGGCATTAGAGACGGAAATGGTTTAGAAATTGTTTAGATTTATCTATAAAATATATCTGAATCTATTTCCAGTAGAAACCTATACATAGTCTCTTCTGTTGTCACAGATTCAGAATGTGGCATTTACAGAAAGTAAAATTAGGTTTAAGCGATTAAGAAAACAATCGTGATTCTTTCTCTGGAAAACACCAAATGACAGTTGATGCTGGTATGGTGGGTGGGCCCAGAGGTCCAAGCGTGCGAGGCCTTGGTGGTTTCTGAGGTTTTGACAGCAAACTTTGGACCCTGGTGGCAACTACAGTAGGGGCTGGTGAAACCGTAAGTCTCACAGAGCCAAAGGCAAGGACAAGGAGTGGCCTCTCAACATTGACTTGGGCTCCTGGCCCAAGACATACAGCTCTAATTTCTGGAGGAGGTCTAACTCATGTCCCTGCTTATCAAGGAGTCTGAGATCATTGACTTTTTCTTGGTGGCATCCCTCAAGGATAAGCTTTATAGACCATTCTTGTGCAGAATCCAAATTGCTCTGATCAGTGGTTCAGATTCAAGGCATTTGTCATCATCAGGGACAAGAAAGGCTATGTCTTTCTGGTGTTAAGTGCACCAAGGAGCTAGCCGCTGTCATCCTAGGGGCCATCATCCTGGCAGAGCTCCCCATTGTCCTTATGTGGAGAGGCTACCGGAGGAACAAGATTAGCAAGCCACGTACTGTCCTTTGCATGGTGACAGGCTGCTGCTGCTCTGTGCTGGTGTGCTTCAACCGTATCCTCAGAGGCACTAGCATCATCTCAGAAGTTGTTGCTCATGGCCAGCATTGATGACAGATTCACCTCTGCCAGGGGCTTGCATCGTCACTCTGAGCAACTTCACCAAGGCCGACTTTGATGTCATCTCTGAGACCTACAGCTACGTGATTCCTGTCCTCCAAAAACAGATGGCATCCACCAAGTCTTCCTACCAGGAATCCATTGACCACCTTGTAAAAACCTACAGCAGAGTCTGTCGAGAAGACTCAGGCTCTAACTTAGGTTTGTTATACAAGAAACTTAAAGCAAATGAAGCCTAAAGAACAACAAAAGAGAAAACAATCACAATTCTAACAAAAATGCTGACAGTCATTTCTTTCTATGTGTAGACCTGTGCTCAGCACTTTAATATGCATAATGTTATCTAATGTAAGATGAGGAAACTGAAGGTTAGAGGTACTGGAATGCAGTGTATTTATTATAGACCAGAGGTTGAACCCAGTGTTGCATGCTACACCACCTAACAGGTGAGGCACCAAAGTTGGACACAAATTAGAGAGGGAATTCTTCCCCTTAGCATCTTAAAATTAGTTAATTCATGTACTACTGCACAAAATCTCCAGTTGGCAAATGGAATTTGGGGGGAGAATAAAAGGTAGCAGAAGAAGGGCTTCTTCCTGAAGAGCTTCTAACCAAGCTGAGGTACAATTAGAAAAGGTACAATTAGAGAATAGTTGTGACAGTTCAATTTGGCTTTAGCCTGATTGGACTAAGAGCAGCCTAGACAGATGTTTGGATTGTGAGCCCACCAGCCTCATCAGTGGACTGGCTCAATGGTGAGTTCATGGCTGAAGGGAGTACTAGGAGGTAGAGCCGAGATGGGGAAGGAGAGTGACCGGAGGGAGCATGCCTTTGGAGGGTGTATTTCCTCTCAGGCTCTTCCTTGTTCTCTTCTGCCCGGCTGCCATGAAGTGCACAGCTTTTCTCTGCATCCCCTGCATGACGTTTCTGCCTTGGGGCCAGCCTCTGAAAATGGGAGCCAGAACAAACCCTTCCTCCTTTAAGTTGCTTTTCCTCAGGTATTTGGTCACGACGACGGAAAGATGACTATTACACTATTATCCAACACTGTTCTCCTAGAGCTCAGCTGTGTAGTGGAGACTATTACAACAAAGTGCTTACACCCTAGACAGCAGTGTTCCAGAAATTATTGGGAAAGGCTTTGGGAAGGTGGCTGAAAAAAAAGAGCTAAGATATGCAGAATTCAATGTAATCCTTAAGATCGAACCTATTTCCCTCATCTCTTCTTTCCTCAACCCTCATCACAGTTCCACCCAAATAGTGTGGCCTCCCTCATTGTCAAGTATAATGGGAAGTGAGAGACAGAATAGGAGAGGAGAAAGCTAAGGTATGGAGCTGGCATTGTCAAAGTAGATGTATGGAAAGGGAAAGTGCAGATATTTACTGGACTGGGGAAAAAATTAGTTTGGCTAATGTCAGTTATATACGTTCAGATAGGTAAGATGGTATCAGTTGGGCAAGAGGCTTCGATATCAGGAAATAGCTAGTACTCTTCATTTGCAAGCAACTGAAAAGAACTGTAATTTAAACTATACACACACTCACTCCTGCATAATACATGTGCACATACATACACTAATAGGACACAGGATAGCTTTTAGAACTAAAGAACATGTACGGCAGCTGTAAGAAACTGAGCGATCTACTCTTTATCATTTTAATTTTAAAATGAGCCAGATCTCAATATATTTCAATCTTCTGGGCCAGGACTCAAATTCCATGGGAAGTCTGATGGGCTCCTCTGGTTGGCATAACTGTTCTTTGACTGGAGGAAGGTAGGCCAGCATCCAGTAGAAAAGGAGTCTATAGCTAGATGTTCCCCCAAAACCTCATGCAGTCTTGGGGACTGGCTTCTAGAGTTTGTGATTGATTCATGGCCTGATGCTGGGATTATGCATGTGAGTGCTACCCCGCCCTGGGGCAGGTAGCCTGTGTACAATATAAGGGGCAGAAAAAATCTTCTCTTGTGCTCCTCCCTTTTCGCTCTTGTGGCTTTTTCTATCTTCTGCCATCACTGTTGCTCATCTGCCACGTGCCCCCCTACCTTGGACTAAAACCTCTACAAACTGTGAGCTAAATAAACCTTTCCATCATAAATTTGAGTGTTGGGTATTTTGGCTTAGAAATGAGAGAAAAGTAATCAAGACAGAATTTGGTACCAGGAGACTGGGGTGTGAGGTTACCTGGCCATGTGACTTATAACCTTGGGCATTCATTTGGAAAGGTTTTGAGAGACTGGCACAGAGGTAACCCCTATATGCTGTAAACTATGTGGGAGACTATTCTTGAAGCCTGGAAAATCAGCGTACTGATGGAAATGCTCCTGGTTAAAATGAAGCTCAGGAGGCTTCTATTGAGAAGAACTGCACTGGCCACTGGATCCCAGGTGATATATGTTGTGCTTTGGCAGGAAACTGGTCTACATTTTGCTTGTGTTTACAGATATTGGCTGGGTAGTAGAAAAATTTCAGAGCAGTCTACAGTTGGGATGGTGGCATGGTTATTGTTGAGAGCTTTTGGTCAGATCTATGTTTGCAATTAAGAGTGAAGAACCAGCAAGTTGATTTGAAGAATTTGGCCAGAGGGATGGCTCCATAGAGCTATGAATTGCAAGGAAAACACAGAGCAGAGCACGGTTGTTAAAAAGGAACAGGACAATAAAAATGAACTAAGGTCTTTTACCTGAAGGGAAGAGTGTATTTGAATTGTAGGAGATCCTGGTTTTTTAGTCTTGATGTACCCTATTGTTAAAAGTTAATAGGAAGCAAGGACTTTGATTGTAATAGTTCTTTTAATTTCACTTTTATGTAGTTTTTAGATATATATCTTTAATCAGGTTAATTAGTCAAAGCAATGTTGTTTGAAGCTTTTATTTTGGTCACGCTTTGAATATTTTGCTTTTGGTATAGGAATGAATGTGGTAAGAATTGTATGTATGCGATTGTGATATTAATGTAAGTCTGCATAGACCACGATATGTTAACATTTCATAAATCTGCCACTAGAGACCATAGTTTATGAAAATGTGTATGGTTATCAGGTTGACCAGGGGAGGATTGTGGTGGGCAACTTGTAACACCCAGTTGAACTGAATCAGTGCAGTGCTGGGTTTGGAGGGCCCATCTGAGGATTGTTGCCAACAGCATAAAAGGGAGAGCTGAAGAGGAAGATGGGGGCTATTGGTTCTCCTGGAGGAGCTTGTCATGCTGGCTTTCCTGATATGAACTCGGCTGTTCTTATCGTCGAAGGAGTTCGAGACCTTGTTGCTGCTGAGGATGGCTACAGTTCACTTTGGGGGAGCTCTGGTCCTTACTTTGAGCATCGCTTCCTGGCTCTGGAGGGGAAGACGGTGCGCTGTTCTAGATATCTCCGGGAGAAGTTTGCCATGCTGGCTTTCCTGATGTGAACTCAGCTATTCTCATCATCAGAGGAGCTTGGGACCTTGTTGTCGCTGAGGATGGCTGTCATACTTTTCGGGGGAGCTCTGGTCCTTACTTTGAGCATTGTTTCCTGGCTCCAGTGCAGATCCCTCAGCCTGTTGGCACAAATCCTCCATCCTGCTGGTGCAGAGTTTTTAGTTTCCTCTGCTGACCTTTGGGCCTTCCCAGCGCAGATTCATGAAACACTTGCATGAGATGTTGTCATGGACTCTTGGACTCGTGAGAGGCATTGTCATGAGCTCTGGGTCTTCAGCTGGACTCAGGCAGGACATTGCCATGGGATCCAGGCCCTCAGCTGGATTCTTTGGGTCTTTAGTGTGTGGACAGGTTTTTTACACTCTTTTGTACTTCACTCTTTTGGTAACTATTATGAAATAATCCTATAAATTATGTGTCCTGTATTAAATTGTTTTCCTTACAAACCCTGATTATAACAGTGGTCTTACTATAATTGGGGATATGGCTTCTATGCAAGTAGAAATAAAGGATGTGTTTCGTACCACTGAAAGTAGAATTTAGGATGCAGTGTTCTGGACGAACTGGAGGTAGATTTGGAAGCTAATTTGGAATCACTTCAGCAGAATTGGTGACTATGTGAAAATGGAAGATTTGACAGAAGACCCTCAAAGGAGCTACAGGAAAACAAGAAGGACAAACTACCAAAGAAACTATGTGAGAACAGTGTCAAATACCCTAGTTCAGAAGAGTACAACTGAAGGGAAAATTTTCTGTTCTTGAAACCTCAGTCCCTCCCTCCCTCCTTGCCTCACTCCCTTCCTCCTTTCCTTCTTTTCATTTTTCTCTCTCTCCCTTCCTCCCTTCTTCCTTCCTTCCTTCCGGTGTTAAGGATTGAACCCAGGGCCTTGCATATACTAGGCAAGAGCACTACCTCTAAACTATGTCAACGCTGTTCTATTCTTAACACTGCAGGTAAATAATCTTCTTAATATGCGCCACACAACACATACTTAAAAGCTCCTCCTGCCACTTAAAAACTGATTCTCCATTACTCTCTAGACCAGGATCTATAACCCCTAATATGATGTCAAAGTCTTCCATTTTCTGGTTCCTTCTTCCTTCTCAAGTGAAATCTCATGCTATATTATTTCTTGTTCTAGCTGTGTCATACCTCTGTGACTTTGCACTCTGTGACTGATATCTACCGCACAAACTGTATTGATATTCTGCTCATCCTACAAGACTCAGCTGAAACACATCTCTTTCCGGAACCCTTTTCTGATCACCAGAGTCTAGGGTCGTGCCACTCTTATTATGCACTCTATGGTTCCCTTAGCACTCCTTCTCTTGCATTACACCTCAGTATCTAGCACAGTGTTTGGCACATAGCAGGTGTTCAAAAATATGCCAAATGAGTGAATAAATGAGCTACTGAGTGAGTGAGTTTGGTAGTCATGGAAAGAAGTTGCTTGAACTTGGTTGCTACAAAACCCCAGTGTGTGAAAGAGAAATAAAAGAATAGCAGTAATGGAATAGGAGAATTACTTTGTATCAGTGAAGTTTATCAAAATTTATTTAATCTTGGGTAAAACAAAGTGAACCTGTAGCCTTCTTGACACCTTTCATCTGTCACTACATTTTTTAAGCACTAGCTAGCTATGACTCCCTGATTGCACTACAAATGAGAATTTTATGGCTGGTGCGAATGGTATGGCTTGGTGATCTCTGCTTTACCAGTGTGTTCATTTCCAAACCACACCATCAAAGCAACTCCCAGTGAGAGACAGAAATGCCTCTACCTAACTTGATTAATATCCTTTGTGTATATATGTTGAGCTACC